TCGTTTGGCTTCTACAAGTGGGAGAAAAATTGCATTCTTAACTTGTTTTAATCGACTGACGATTGAAAAATTCTTCTAAAAGTGCTAGTTTCTCGGCAAGATTTAAAGTCGTCGGAACATTTTAACTTGCAGAAAACAGCCGTCACTATCGGAGTTCGTATTGTTTCATTTTTTAAACAAAATTCACATTCAAAAGATCACTTAATTTATTAAGCAAATTGATGATCAGAACGTTTTAACAGTTTTAATTTTCTCAATAAAATATAAATTTCATCAAAATATATTTGAATCTTCTAAAACCAAAAAAGTTTCACCATCAGAGAATTCTAAAATTTCGTACTATAACCCCATCTTGACAAAATTGGTATTCCAAAAATACTATAACTATCGGTGAATTTTAAACCTTTTTGTTATTTCACTTCTCTCAATAGTATATTGTGTCAGATATTTTAATCTGCAAAATAAAGAATAGCAATTGAATTCTTCCAGCTCCAATTTTTCTCAGTAGTATACAAAGTCAGATATTTTAAGTTGTAAAATAAGGATTCTCAATTAAATTATTGAGTTCCAACTCCAGTTCTTCTCAATAATATACAAAGTCAGATATTTTATTCCGCAAAATAAGGATTCGCAATTGAATTCTTGAGTTCCAACTCCAGTTCTTCTCAATAATATACAAAGTCTGATATTTTATTCCGCAAAATAAGGATTCGAAATTGAATTCTTGAGTTTCAACTCTAGTTCTTCTCAGTAATATACAAAGTCAGATATTTTAAGCTGTAAAATGAGGATTTGAAATAGAATTCTTGAGTTCCAACTCTAGTTCTTCTCAATAATATACAAAGTCAGATATTTTAATCCAGCAAAATAAGGATTCGAAATTGAATTCTTGAGTTCCAACTCTAGTTTTTCTCAATAATATACAAAGTTAAATATTTTAATCCGCAAAATAAGGATTCGCTATTGAATTCTAGAGCTCCAGTTTTCTCAACGAAACTCCGTCTTAAATAAAATATAAGTAGACATTAGTTATCTCAGTTAAAATCTTCCGAATAGTCTCTTCGCAACTAGAAATCGAATTCACGGAGCTTCTTATCTTCGTGAGACTGCGTTTTGATGTGAAAGGCTTTTCGTTGTGAAAGACCACAGACTAATTATCATTAATTATACTCAGTCAGCACGCGAATACCACTCAAATGATCGTATGGATCGATAGGGAGGGGTCATGATAAACCTTAAGTGTGTTTTAATTTTCTGTTGCGATATTGCATTACTCGATGGAGTTAACGAACATCAGTTGCTACCGCCTCTTAATGGCATAGCTCTAAATATTTAATTGGGTAGAATTTATGACTCATAGATTCTTAGAACGGAGGTTGTATAAGAGGTAGTATTTATTATATACCTAAGGACATATGTCAAACTTACAAAGAAAAATGCACACTTTATATTGTTTAGATAAATATTTTGTTTAACTTCGATAGATGAATTCAGTATTTGTCACGCGTGCTTCGGAAAGAGTGTTTTATTTCCGACGCTCTCTTTAACTTTTTACAATTATTGGAAGTTTGCTTAATGTTATGAGATCAGTTGTTGGAAAAACTACGTTATTTTTGTAGTTAACTGCGACTACTTTTTTTTAAATATAGTGACTACAAACTACTTTCGAAATTTAGGAACTACTTCACTACTTTAAGGAGACTAACTTTGCTGGAGAACTTTATTTAGGACACGAATTCCACTTGCATCGGCCATAGTGCTAACGTGAAATATCCTTAGTGGTAAGCGGATCATGGGTTAGAGTCCCCTTGCCGTCGGGGCAAATCGTGTTAGATTTTCATGGTTTTCCTCTCCATGTAACGCAAATGTGGGTTAATTCCATCAAAAAGTTATCCCCGAAGGCAAATTTCTCCCACTACTTGATTCAGGAATTCCCTTGTCTTCTGGATTGAGTTCAAAATTTCAAAGCTACAGAGTTGAACAATAGTAGTCGTAACCCCAAAAATTGGGTCGGCTGTTCAACGACGGCAATAAAATAAAATTATGATTGATAGCACTATTTTAAATTGATAAACAATTATGTGTTTTGTTTAAGTTGGATTTAAAATTTATATCATAAAAATTAATTTACTTTAAAAAAATAAGAGGTTTCTTTGTTTGAGATGTTTTTTGTTTTATTTCTAAAATAGCTTTTTTCTAACCTAACTTTTAAGTCTAAAACTAAATCACTAATAGCATCGTCTTTAGTATACCCTGATTGTATCATGAGGTTGTCAATCTCTCTTAGAGATCCTCAAAAAGAGATCTAAAGCTCTACTTTGAATACATTTGAATTTACTTATTTGTTTTTTAATATTCCTTATCTTTATATTTTTCTGCATTTGGTGCTGAGGTTTGCCCGGTAACTAGGCGAGGTTTTTTCCGTGCCTCCCAAAAATGGTCGTAAATAGAGGTGGTCGCTACACAGAGGTGATCCTTTCTGGAAGTTATAATAATGTAATAATGATATTGCAGGATTATGTCTCCACTAAGTAATTCCGTCTTAAAATATTAAAAAACATATCCATCACTTGAAACTTTTCGTTTACTCTATAAGTTTACCTGAATTCACTTTTTCTGTGTCTTAAATTTTAAACTAATTGTATCGGTGAAAGAGAATTTGCCATGAAGGATTTCTCCCGTGTTACGAGAGTATTTATAATTTTAACATTAACCTCCTACAGAGTGGTTTCCGCGAAATTTTCAAGAAACTATTTTTCCCACTTACTAAACTTTATAACCGTTGTTGAACAGCCATCCCAATTTTTTGCTGTTTAAAACTACTAATAATCAAAGCTTAACCCCGCCCCGTCACAGTTAAGGGACAACCGGAGAATACTGTAAACCTTGGCCAAAGAATACCTAATACGTGTTCTTTGTTCGCCAAGCTGTAAACTATAAGATCCAAAGATTCCCTGCCTCCAACCAGAAGGCCTCAAAGTGAAATCCTAGTGAATCTTAAAATTGACAAAAGTAGTTACTCAGAAAATAGAATTTTGGAGTTTGAGTGTTCAAACATAATAGGCGAGGCATCAATTAAAAAAAAAAGAAAGAAACATTGAAAAAAGGTAACAAACATATTGTGATGATGAAAAGAACCAGAATTTGTTCAAAGCCCATGAAAACAGATACAATTTCAAAAAGAAGAGTTACGGCGAAGAAGACGCTCTATTCCCTGCTGATAGTTGGTACTGTGCACATAATATATACTTAAATTAGGAAGTATCGCATGAAATAACCTTTTCAATGCCTTTCAATTGCCATTTTTTTCACAATAAATTTCTAATACAAACAATGATACATAACTTCGCGAATTTTCTTCTGGTTTTATTAAAATTTTAACGGCTGTATATCATTGATACGTTTCACGAAGTAATTTCTTTATAATTGCGATTATAGTTTTCATGGTCAGATAGATCATGGGTTAGAGTCCCCTTGTGGTCAGGCTAACTATGGGATGTTTCCGTGGTTTTCCTCTCAGTGTAACGAAAAGGTGAGTTAGTTCCAGCAGAAAAATTCCTCAACGGAGGCACATTTGTCCCAATGCTGGATCCAGGAGTTCCCTTGTCTTCTGAATTTTGTTCAAAATGACAAGGCTACGGAGTTGAACTGTAGTAGTCTTAAACTGCAAAAAATTGGGATGGTTGTTCAATAAAGATTATATAAAAGTAAGCTGATAGTGAATATTTACTCTATCTTTCAATACGTGCAAAATACAAAGCCACCGACCAACCACAATTTGAGGTATAAAGCCTGAGTTATCTTAGATTCTATATTAATTTTTTATTTAAAAATTATAGAAGTACGATTCTGTAATCAACAGTTTTTGATAGGTAGTTAAATGCCATTCACTTGCCTGTTCTTAGATATTTGATAAGTATCTATGTTTTTAAGCAATTAACGTTAAAAGAATATTTTAGCGACTTGCAAATCTGTTTAGATCAGTCTAAACTGTAATAAAAATTTATTTTAAAAAGAAATCCCACTAAAAACTGAGAAGCGTGTAGTTTTAAATTAAATCAAATCATTTCATTTGCTGAAAAGATTAGTGAAAAAATTCATAGATATATTCTTAAAATTATCAAGAACTATTTCTCCTAATCTTACAAAGCGACTCCTTTATTTCATCCTTTTTTTGAAAGATATTCTGTTGTCTAATAATATTAATGTCACCCATCAAAAGTTTGTAAAGTACAAAAAATAATAGGAAACACAAATGAAATATTTAACCTATAAGTTTAATAAGGAGAGGGAAAAGGCCATTTTAAGTTTTAATATTCTCAAAAGTATAAAATGCTTTTATTTTATTGTACAATGTCCATTTTATCGTAAAAAGTATTATTAATATCGTAATGGAAAATCTTCGTTTTATAGTAAGAATAATAAAGATATTCATTTTATAAAGAGAAATATCCGTTTTATGGCGAAAAGTATTCGCTTTGTAATGGAAAATATTTATTTTGAAATGAAAGATCTTCGTTTTATAGTAAGAATAATTAGTTTTTTAATGGAAGATATTTATTTTATAAAGTAAAATATCCGTTTTATGGTGAAAAGTATTCGTTTTGTAATGGAAAATATTTATTTTGTAATGGAAGATATTCGTTTTGTAGTAAAAAGTATTTATTTAAGGTGAAGGTTCATAAATAAATAGGGGAAAAAAAGAGTTTTTTCTTGTATCACACGTTAAGTTGAAATACTTATAATATATAAAAGCTGCTGAGTAAATTATTTTTATTTCTATCTGTTTCTTGTGATTCCTCAAACTCGCTATCGAAAGTAATCCAAACTTCAAGTGAAAATAATTACTCATTTTTTTGTGATAGTCTCTCCGCAAAATAAAATATAAAAATATTTTTTTTTCCTCGTCTTTTTATTTTTCCTTGTAACAGAAAGTGTGATCCTTTTATTTTTTCTCACTGTACCTGGCGTTGTTCCAGGTCTGCCGGTCGGTCAGAGATACAAGAGCTCTGTTGGGAAGTTGAGTTGGGTTGCTAGGCAACGCGGAGAGTATCATCCAGCCTTGTTACATCGCAACCTTGGTTTTCCTTCCGATGGATTCAGATGCAATTCCGTCTCGGATAGACTCACAGCGGGGGAGTAACATCCTTTTGTCGCATCCCTGACATCCTGCTGATTTCCCCTCAACAACTAACTCTCTCGTGAGAAAAAGAAATAGCTGTTTTCTTTTATTGCGTCTGGCATTAAAGGAAAGCTTTTCGAAGGAATTCCGAATAGTTTGTAGCAATGAGTAATTGTCTCTTTCTGTTTTAAATTCAAATGTGCTTAGTTAAACGAGCTGGCGATAAAGCAATCCTGTAAGGGATACCGTGAAGAAAAATTAGCGGATACAGGTAATTATATTATTAAGTTCCTTTTTATAACTAAAGACATCATTTTAAAGTTCCGTCCTGTGAATTATTTGATCGATTTCTTTGAAAATATAGACTTTGGTAGGTGCTTTTTTTTTCTTTTAGTATTTTTTTTTTAAATTTATAATAAAAGAAGCATTAAGTTTATGAAATGCAGTAATGCATATTTTATTGGAATCATGCATTCTGAGTTTATTACTTTAAAAGTTTTCGAATGTTCAATTTTTTTTTTCTTTTAAGAACGAACAATGAAAAAAACTCAGTCCGACCGCAAGCACATAACGGAGATGAGAGGATTCGTGATTTGCTTATTTTTGTGGACTGCTTATTTGCTTATTTTCGTAAGCCATTAAAATTCCTTTACTTTCAAAAAAAAATTTCTTTAATGAAAAAATGCAACGAAGAAACTGGCAAATAATTAGAACAATAACAACTTCATATTTAGTTTGGGTAAATAAAACATAAAAAAAAAAAAAAAAANAAAAAAAAAAAAAAAAAAAAAAAAAAAAAAAAAAAAAAAAAAAAAAAAAAAAAAAAAGGACGCAGGGACGAAAAGAAATCAGAGTTCCCTGTGACTTCCCAAAGCTATTCGAAAAAATTTCGCCTGGCCATTTGGCATACATGCGAAATTTCATTTTCTCTCTTACTTCGTTTAGAAAACACAATTAAAATGAATCAATATTACTCCTTTATTTAAACTTGTTAAACAGTAATGATAAAAATATGGAAAAGTATCATTTCAGGTATCCATTATACAATCCTCAATAAATCTTGAAAACTCCATTTTTTAAATAATTTCTCTCGCAGCTCCTTTTTCTGGACACAAACGAGCTAGCTTCATCAGAAATTAAGAATTAAGACATCAGCTTAGCAGATCTTTAAAAACCCGTTCGCGCATTTCTTTTACTAAAATAAAAAATTCATAAGGTGCAACAGGGAAAACGTAAATACAATAGCGAATGTTAGTAGAAGTTGGAAAAAAAAACCAATTGTAATTACTTACTGCAGAAACTTATATTTAACTCTTTTAAATACATAAAAATGTCTGCAGTTAAAAGACTGCATACATTATATATTTATATTTATGACAGTCGTTGAATAGCAGACCCAGTTTTTGGGCTTAAGACTACTAATGGTCAACTCGGTAGCATTGTAATTTTCAACCCAATCAAGACAAGGGAACTCCTATATCAAGTATTGAGAGGATTTTGCCTTCGTGGAGGACTTTTTTGATGAAATTAACCAGCATTTGCGTTGCATGAAATCATGGAAACATCCCACACGATTAGCCTGATGGCAAGGCAAGGGGACTCTAATCCATGATCCATCTATCACTGAGGATAATTTACGTTATTTTATAGATATATAAAATACTACAATAATATATAAATTAAATTAATTNTTTACAACATAACATATAAGCAGTGACTTTTTGTTTTTACAATTTAAAACAGTTGGTCTATTTTTTTTCATTTCCGATCACTGGATATGTTCTACTTTTCCATTTCCCCATTATATATGTTCTATTTTCCCATTTCTAATATCACACTTCAAATATTTTAACCTCTTTTTCTGCTATTGCTAACCTTTCATACTCGATGTCTGGCACTACGGAATCTTCCGATTTCTTAAAAACAATCTCAATTCAATGCGGCGGTTCGCATTCGTCCAGTATCGTCCACAAACTTCAACTATTTTTCAAGTAGCGGTTGAACGTGGAAAAAGCCTTTCAAAACGTGATGGGCAATCGTCCCTACTCTCAAAACTCTAGGATAAAAGTACAGAGTTCTTAGCATAACAAGTTATTAGAGATCATTAACTTAACACTAAACATACCATAACCGGTCAAATGACCGTTTAAAAAATTTTGCATCGAAAATGCGCTTATCATCTTATCGTTTTTGCACATTTGACTTCATGACTTCTTCTAACAATTATATACAGTTAATATTTTATTATTGTTATTTTATTTTTTTGTATTTTGAATGTTTCGAATAATACTTGTCGTATACCTATTTCTACTACAACCAGNAATGCACTTATCATCTTATCGTTTTTGCACATTTGACTTCATGACTTTTTCTAACAATTATATACAGTTAATATCCTATTATTGTTATTTTATTTATTTTTTTGTATTTTGCTTGTTTCGAATAATACTTGTCGTATACCTATTTCTACTACAGCCGGTCATTTGACCGGGAGAACAATTTATTGCTTTATAAGGTTATCGGATCAGTAATTGCGGTGTAATACGTGTTCACGTATGGCATTCGATGAGTTGCACATTTCTGCAAAGACTGTTACGTAGAAAGTTCAATCAGAATAACTGTGAATTCAAATTTTAGATTGGCATTTTTGTGCAAAAAAAGGTGACAAAAACTAAATGTTTTGGTAAGTAGCTTATATTTAATTTTGATAGCTTTACTCCATTTCTAACTAACTGTTAGTTTTTACCCAGAAAAATGTCGAAACAATCAAGACAGCACGAGTTCTTAGAAGAAATAATATTAATTATAAGAATAATTATAAGAATTATAATTCTTATATATTCTGATAATTATAAGAATTTCAGAAATAATAGTAATTATAAGAAATATGTTTGCGAAAAATGTGCAATGGAAACACCCTGTATATATGTAAAAAATGTGTTGATCAATGAATTAAAAATTCTTATTCTTTGTGTTAAATAAATAATACATATAAATAGGAAATATACAATTTTGTTTAATTATAATGAAGGTTTTTTAGTTTATTTCCTTCCTAACATCCATATTTCTTACATTCAATCAAGAAACATAAAGTCCGGTGATTTGACCGGCTATGGTAGAAATAGGTATACATTAACTGTTGATATGTTTAGTGTTAATGACATCGCTGTTTGGTTTTGTCTTAAAAAGAACGTCTCAATTTTAGCATTGCTGCTGTAGAAAAGATTAAAAACCTATTTTTTTAAAAATTTGAACATGTTTCGCTTACGACTCGTAGTAATAGATATGAGAATTTAGCTTATCAATCCAACTATTAATTAAAAACATCCTATTATTATGAATGACGCCTTAATATTCATAAAGCTCTAATTTCAATATTTTCTTACTTTAGAATTTATGTATACACAGATGTTTTTCCATTTGTAAACGTAATCTAGATAATATCGAGAGAAAAAAAACTATCTATATTTGTCATTTCCTAAATAAACATTGACATACATTAAACATACGAAAGTAAATTAAAAATATTAAATGCCGGATAACTCTAATTTATGCGTCACAAAAAATTACTTATGATTAGAAATTCTATCCAATGCGTCATAAAAAATTAATAGAGATAATTAATAATGAATAACGATTATTCTCTGAGACTTAACATTATTCTCTCAATGTTATTAACATTATTTTCTTAAGATAACTAACATTATTTTCTTAAGATTATTAATATTTTTCTCTTCCAATTATTGACAATATTTTCGTAATATTGTTAATATTTTTCTCTCAGGATTATTGTTATTGAATATGAATATTAATATTATTTTCTCGAGATTATTAATACATCTCTTAAGATTATTGAAATTACTCTCTTAAGATTATTAACATTATTCTTTTAGGATTATTGACATTATTCACTTAGGATAATTTTTCTTAATATAAACTAAATTTTTCTCTGAAGATTATGGATATTATTCTCTTAAAACTTTTAATATTTTTCTCTTAAGATTATTGACATTGCTCTTTTAAGATTATTAACATCATTCTCTTGAGATTATTCATATTATTCCCTTAAGATTATTAACAATATTCTCTTCAGATGATTGGTATTTTTCTTTTATGCTCATTAACATCATTCTAAGATTATTAACATTATTCTCTTAATATTATTTACATTGTTTTAGAATTATTAATGCATATTCTTATAAATTATTAACATTATTTCCTTAGGATTATTCCTTAGGATTAATATAACTAGTATTTTAGTTTAAATACATATGCTTTTGTTTTTAATAACTTAAAATTGGTACGACCAGAATAAGTTCAGTAGCATTTTCTAGTTAGTAGCTCAAATCAAATCAAAATAAAATGATTCTAACAAAAAAGAATTTTTTGTTTGCTTGGAATTATCTTTGAATAAACCAGGTTTATAATTCTGTGCAAAATATTTTGCTTTCCTCAAATAATTCTTGAGATATAGCGAAATACGCAAAAAGGGAAAATTAACATTAATATATCATAACTTCCCACAGCTCAAACTGTTGGAACTGCATTGAAAAAAAAAGAATCTGAATAAATAGAAAGATAGGTATGTTTACTCAGAGAAAGTATATTTTTGTGGCTGACATATTACCAGTGCGGCTGATATCGAAACTTGTTGTTGGCATAAATGCACTTTGCATTAATATATACATATATAAAATCAAGCCAACAGTCAAGATGAATATTTTTCATATTTTTTCCAAATATATAAATAAACAAAAATTCGTGTAATAATAAAAGAAAAATATTAGTTTAAAACTTAAAAATGAATAATTATTTTCAATTTTCAATATTTAAGGGTTTGAGACTTAATATCTTCTAGACTATTTTATTTAGTCGCATTGCGAAAAACATTCGTTTGATTTCAGTAACCGCCAACTTCAAATTAATATAAATTAAAAAAGTTTTAATATTCTAATTCACATCAACCATTATTTTTATCAATGGAATCTGTATTTGTTTGTTACTTCCTCTTTAAACAACTTCATGAACAATAATAATGCAAACTATTCTATAATAGTAACTTAAAATTATATATTGTTCTACTTAACTTACCGTTAAAGTTACAAAACCATTAAATGTACAGTGCGCAAATTATGCATGTAGTAAGTTCAATTACAAAATTATTATAATTACATATTACGAAAATATTTTAAATTATTCCTGAAAATTTTCGCTCATGTAAGTTTATTTGAATTCGCAACTCTCTTTATAGATTTTGTTTTATGTTTTGTT